TGTGTGTGTGTGTGTGTGTGTGTGTGTGTTTCTGTGTGTGTGTCCTCACTGCAGACACTGATACAGTGATGATCTTCCAGCTGCAGCAGTCACTTCCGTCTGTGAGGTTTTTGTACGAGTGTGTTTCACTGTGTGAACATCGGAGTGCTGTGGTAACTCTGACAGTAATAAACTCCTGCATCGTCAGCCTGGACTGCACTGATGCTCAGAGTGAAGTCCAGGCCATTCCCTGCTCCACTTCCACTCAGTCTGGAGGAGATTCCTGAAAGTCTGTCTGATGTTAAGTAGATCAGAGCTTTGGGAGCTTCTCCAGTTTTCTGATGGTACCAGGCCAGGTAGTATTGTGAACCAGAATACTGAGCTACTTGTGTACTGACTTTACAGTTGATGTTTACAGTCTGACCAAGCTGCACAGATTTGGATGCTGACTGAGTCACCACAACGTTTTGTCCAGCAGACCCTGAGGAGAGAAGAAACTCTGGACATGAGCTGGTGAGGTGAAACTCAGCTACGCTCTGAATGATTTTCACGTGACAGAAAAATGATTTTCCTCACCTTGAGTCAAGCAGAGGAGAGTCCAGATGAGGACGCAGAGCACACTCATGTTTTTGATGAAGAGGATTTCTGTGGCTTCTGTTGTGATGAAGGACAGCTGTCAGTCACGCAGTGTTCAACTGTCAGGACTATAAACTCTCCCAGAGCACTGGAGCATGGTGCCGCTGATGCAAAGCAGCTCACCGTGGACATGCTCAGACTGACTCTGATTACTCTCAAGGATCTATCAGTTATCACAGGATTCATCTGGAGTGTTTTCTGCATTTTGCATCTCTTAAGCTTCTTTAAGTATTTTCTTTGTTTTTTTACACAGTGAAAGTAGATGATCTGTATTGTAATAACAGAACATAGTTTTCCTGCGAGCTGAACTCAGTCACATCACATTTTTGTTTCGCTCCTTTACTGAACCTGTCCTCACCTGTTCCATTTTTAAACAGGAACAATTTAAAGGATTAAAGAAAATGTACTCTTTAAACCTGCTGCAGAATTAAAAGGACTCAGGACAGTGTGACTGGAGATCATTTCTTAGTGTTTCTGACACATCTGTGATTTTTAAAAATGTCCCACTTTGTCTTTGACCTCAGTTTGAAACTGTCTGAGAATATTTATCTTTTTTAAATCTGGCTTATGTTGAAATATTCTGACTGGTTCGGTTTAGCAGATAACGTCTTTATCAGTGAAATGATCAGCTGGTGATAGTTTAACAGTAATTATGATTGTAGAAATGCACCAAATGAAATGATTAAAATGTTGAATGTAAATAACTGAATATTTGTTCAAAGTGTCTTATATTTTGTATTAAACACTAAAACCATGCAGATAATTAGAAGTTGATGCTGAAGATAATTCCTGAGATGCTGTGTAACAGTTTGGCCCCAGTGCAGTTTGTTGAGCTTCAGGTCATATGAGGACTGCGAGTGCACTGATGTGCATGAGAGCTTTGTTAAAGGGAAGTGAAACACTGTGTGAGTGATCTGTCAGAAAGTCCTTAAAAGAAGAGAAGATCCACTCTCACACAGTGAAGGCGTTACTGCCAGCTGTGCCGTGTGCTCCCTGTCCTCTAAGCTGATTGGTGTCTCCTAGGTGACGCTCGTCCCACCCTGACGGTGCTGCCCCCCTCCAGAGAGGAGCTGCAGCAGGGGAAGGCCACGCTCATGTGCCTGGCCAACAAGGGCTTCCCCTCAGACTGGAGTCTGTCCTGGAAGGTGGACGGCAGCAGCAGCAGCAGCTGGGAGGAGGGCAGGAGCCCAGGGGTGCTGCAGGAGGACGGCCTCTACAGCTGGAGCAGCACCCTGAGGCTCCCTGCAGACCAGTGGGAGAAGGTGGGCTCTGTGACCTGTGAGGCCACCCAGGGCTCCCACACTTCTCTCTCACAGACACTGAGGAGAGACCAGTGTTCCCAGTCCTGAGCTGACTCTCTCTCTCTTTCTGTCACTCGTCTTTGTTTTGTTCATCATTTCACTGTTTGACACAATAAAGATTCATTCAAAGAAACTCTCGTTCCACTTCTGCTCTTTTTAACTTGCACAGATTGAGATCCTTTCACAATAAACACAGTTGTTCTTCACTCAGGGGTTTCAAACTCGTGGCCCGGGGGCCACTTGCTGCCCATATATTGACGTGAAGAAATAAAATGCAGTTTGTCCTTTGAAGTGACTTTTTTGTTTGTTGTTAAGTGCAAAGTTATTTAAAAAACCAAAAATGATTTAATATGACTGCAACATGAGCAGAGAGTACAAACATGCTGCGGTTCAGTGACTAATGTGTTCACTTATGTCTGCATTTTGATTCTGTTAAGTACGAACACAATGACAGCAGACGTGCTGCTACATGTCTGCAGACAGAGGACCAATGACTTTATTTGGCAGTTCAATGAAAGGCTTCAGTTAGTTAAGAAGGAGGAAAAAGAATCTGTGTTCATGTTATACAATACTTAAATAAAAAAAACAACAAAACAAAACACTTTAGGAAATATTTGTGTTCTTTCTTCTTCTTCTTTTTGTACTACTTGAACACTAAAGTGGCCGTCCAATAAGACAACAGTGTCAGCTTTGGCCCACGGCTCATTTAAATTTGACACCCCTGATCTTAAATGAAAGCACAACTATGTCAGTTTTCTTTTATTTACAACTTACAATCCTACGTTCCAAAATCATTTCACTCACCTGCATTCAGACCATGTTAACAACACTTATTATGGCTGCCACTGAAATCTTCCTCCTTACATATTCTAAGAGTCTGGGGGGAAAACCAAAGCACTCAGTGTATTTTATACTGAACTTTTTCAGAGCACACAACATAACGAGTCTGCCGGTACTGAAACCTGCTGTGGACATTTTCGGTTCTTAAAAATAACGTCTGGGAGCAGCGATGCAGGACACACATGCAAACACAGAGTCAGTGAGCTGTAACTGTCCTCAGCACATCACTGATGAAACTTTTGTCAACATATATTTTCTTCCTTTCACAGAAAACTCATCCCTGTTTTCAGTTCAACACTACTTTCTTATCTTTGATATTTACCTCACGCTCCATTCATCCTTCATCGAATACATGAAATATGTAGCGACTTAAAAATATCTCACAATGTGTAAGTAAAACGTAAAGGATGTTTTATGTTAGCGTCCATGTTTCAGGACTCTCTGTGTCCTGTGTCCCCTCGGGTTACCCCTGAGAATGAGACCCTCACTTGCACCATTGGCACTCTCACCTGGGAAATAGACACAATCCAGCCAACCCTGATGACAGAACCTGATCCTGACTGTAATGTCATCTGCAAACTTTGACTTTTGCTGTGCAGCCATCTGTGTAGGACACCTCCACTGGGTTGCCACTGCTAATTTTCCAGGTGCTGGATGTGCCTCACCAGTGATCCACTGACAGATGGAGGCTGGGACAGTGAGCTGGGTAGTTTGGAGTTGAGCTGAAGTCCACAACCTGATCCTATTACAGATCCTATTACGTGTACCAGGGCAGTCAAGGTGTTCCAGCTTGAAGTGCATTCCTGTGCTGACAGCATCATCCACTGACCTGCACCAGGGAGCGTGTGATGTTTGCAGATAGGTCAACACTCATGTCTTTACTACAGATGTCAGGGCAACATGTCTGTCATTAATTAACAGAGTGTTTCTTGGGGAAAGATGGTTGTTAGCTGAAAACCCATTTTTACTGTTTCAGTGTAGCGCCTCTTTGCTACCCTGATCTCCTTTGTCAGTATGTTTCTGGCCTGGGTATACAGGACTCTGTGCCCACTCCTGTAGGCGGCATTATCCCTGAATTTTCCTGTAAACCAGGGTTTGTTGTTATTGTATACGCAGAAGGTTTTAGGATGTCACAGTGTCAGTGATGTTGTCCAGGTGTGCCTCAAAAACACTCCACTTCCTGCATTGTCTCACAGCACAAGGCCAGGCAGGCGCCTGTGGCACTTTTATTTTGACTGCATTGTTTATGGTTGTGTATTGTAAACTGCAGTATATTTACTCTTTATCATGCTGCTGCATGCATACAAATGTCCATTTTATTTGCAATAAACCAAAAACAAACAAACAAACAAACTAAAAACCCAAAACAAAACGCAGGTACATAGTGAAAGACCAGATGTCCCAGTTTTACACTGGGACTTGAAAGCAGCTTACATTTGTGGATCTGTGTGGCTGTGGCGGAAACCCCCACGTGGGCATGTGACGTGATCTGTGCGTGTCGGGCGATTGGTGCACATCTAAGGTTTTGTGAGTGGGGACAGATGTTTAGACATTTGTGTGCATAGACAGGTTTGTGAAAGAGAAAATGATCAGATTTGTGAGGCTGAACTTCATAAATTGTGTGTAAATGATCAGTATTTCTGCACCCACTGAACTACTACTGTAAAGACCAGAAAGGATGCACCAGTTAAAATAGAAGCGCCCATGTTAAATCATTGGTGGACAGATAGAGCTGGGTGTCATCTGCATAGCAGTGTAAATGTATGCTATGTCTTCTAATGATGCTGCCTAAGGGAAGCATGTATAATGTAAACAGAATTGGTCCTAGCACTGAACCCTGTGGAACTCCATAATTAACCTCAGTGTGTGAAGAGGACT